TTGCGACCTTTCTATAAAGTATATAGTCAAAGTTTAATTATTGATTATATATATATATTAATATATATATTAATAAATATATATATATTAATATATAAATATATTAATACATTTTAATATTTAAGGATTTATTTATAATTCTTATATAATTATTATATAATTTATAAAAATATATATATATATAAGGATAGAGAGAGAGAGAGAGAGAGAGAGAGAGAGAGAGAGAGAGAGAGAGAGAGAGAGAGAGAGAGGATATACATGTTATATATAAATGTTTTTCTTATTATTTAAATATTTTCGACAGCCTATTTTATTATCGCATCGACCCTTCACTAGCCTATGAATCAAACGCGCGTAAAAATGCATTCGTCTTCGCGAAATCACACCGGCAGAGCTCGAGTCGAACGGAGAAATTCGGAAAGAATCGCAAACTTATTTTGCCCGCGAAAAATTTTTGTCCCTTTTCTTCATTTCATTTAATTTCGAAGAAAGAAGCGTCATCGAGTTTATCAGCGAGCGCGGAGCCGAGACGCAACGCGCTTTGTCCTCAACGCAACGCATCGCATTGCATCGGTGCATTCGCTATGCACCAACGGCGGACTTTATACCGCGCTGGCCCTCGTCCTTTCCGATCTCCAGTTGATCGATTTTCCGCGGGGTCGACGACCCCCGCGCTCGCTCTCACGAACCCCTCGTTGCTGCGCCGCGCGAAGAAGAAACGGAAAGGCGCACTTTCGGCGACGACCACCGCGGCACACGCCGGACACGCCGGCCATATTTATCGACTAGGACGCACTAGGACGCGCTAGATGAAACTATATATTTACTATGAAACGCGATCAATACTCACAATTCTGATGGGACTAAACATTATCTCGTTGCGCTCGCGTGCGCTGCGTTCGGCTATTTTCGCATTCCGTTAAATCGAACGCGTTCGATGAAGAGTTCGTTTTCTTGCACCAAACGCGCATTTTTCACCTTTTTTCTTCGCCGACGAATCATTTAGCATCCGATATTAGCGTCTCTTAAATGGACGCTGCAATGAATCAACAATTGAAATTGATATCGGACGTGATGACGTAAAATCGTATAATGAAACACAGTTATCACATTAACAGCATTTACTTTAATACAAAGCATTAACTTGATTACGCGTAGAAGAATTTTATAATGCTACATGTCGGTATATATATCTCTTTAAAGTACAGAATAATTGCAATATTTTTCCGTTTCGCTTGAATAATCAAACACAGGTATCGCCAATCTAACGCAGATTTAATGGATAAAAATATTCCACGTTCCCTTATGTGTTTATTGTTGCATGAACTTAAAATTGTACGTCGCCGGAGCGTAAATAATCGAGTTTACACGCGACGCAGAACCAGTGTGTTGCGACCAAATTAGCAATGAAAATATTTCGCTGCAACGGCCCAGAAATATATTGTTATAAACGCAGCGGTGACCGATCCTAACGCACTCCATTTTTTTTTCATCTAATCATCGCGCTCGCGTACGATTCAAACGTATTTCAAGCGATGACTGGTGACTATTTCGGATTCGATGTGCGAATTTTATATATCCCGTTCGAACACCGCGGAATAATAGTTTTAGCAAAGTTTATTAGTTGAGATCATTGCTATTATTATGCACCGAACGATGGTACAACGATACGCTACTCCGAGTGTGGTTTAAAATTCGAAAAGGTCAACGACGATTTCTCGACGAGAGACACAATTAATCCGATCTGGAAAGAGTTAAAGAGCTCTCATCGCGGTCAATTCGGAAAGGACAATAAAGCCACCGATGATGCAAATTGATAGCGAATGCGGTAAAATTGATTCAAGACGCGTCTTGTATAGAGAAACGCGACAAAATAAAAAAAGAATTATTTTATCGGATGCAAATCAAATATTATTTTTAGAATTATGACCAACGATCGCGTTTGATTGAAGAGTGAATCAGAAACGTTTTTTTCTGCGAGCTAGGGACAGTCGCGGTATCGCTCGCGAGTCATCGAAGATGATCCCTGAGTGGCGCCTGAGTAACGTCATCTTGGCACCGCGCGACGAATATTCGGCCCGATATATTTTTCGCGGCCGCATAAGAATAAATTGCATCGAGTTCGGGATTGCGTCGCGATCGACTCTCGGTCGGCCGTTGCCAAGACCCGGAAAAAGGAGAGGCGGGTTTTCTAGAACGGCTAAAAATAGCGCGCGCATTCTCGCGAAAATAAAATGGCAGCTCTATGGCAGGCGGTGGCCGATGAGAAGGAAGGAAGAGGAAGGTGGGGACCGGGACGAGGGAACAAGAAGAAGAAGAAGAAGAAGAAGAAGAAGAAGAAGAAGAAGAAGAAGAAGTAGGAGAAGGCGGGCGCGGTCGCTAACAGTGGTAATAGAAAAAAAAGGAGGCAAAGCATCTAAAATTGGCGGGACTGACTTCGCCAATATGCGGCGATGGCGGGCATCTACCGAACTGAATACCGGTTGGAGGAGGCTTGGACCTAGAGTAGGATGTGTCTAGGAACAAAGAGGAAAAAAGAAACAAGGGAAGGCGGGCGGACGAACTCTTGAGTGGATTCATAAATCCGTGAGCCTGAGAAAGAGCGATGCGTGCGATACCGGAGATACGGTATATTATGGCGGTATATGAAGAGTATGGGATAGCTTTATTACGGATTACAATACGATGACGGTCCTGAAGATTCCGCGATAGCCGTATCGTGCTATCGTGCAAAAGCATATCGTGCTGCAACGAGCAAAATATGCGGCGTAGTGACGGTAATGATATCGATATTGCATTCAAAGATACGATCTTGGAGTGCGCGGCGCGTTAAGCGGGTAACATACTCTCGATCGTAATGTACAGCGACGAAAACAGCTTTGCGTTTAATAAAAATGAAAGGCAACTTTGTATACTCGATCGAGGTGAGAAACACCAAGGTGTTCGGGAACGAGAGTGGGTTGTCTTAACGGTGAACTTTACATTCAGCGTTGACAACTTTTGTGAAAAACGAAAATAAGACGCACCGTACGCATTTACTTTTTGGCATAATAACTTTTGATATATGAACACATAAAATAAAATATTTATAAATATTTATATTTTAAATAATAACAGCAAAAGATAATGGATATATAAAATAAATAAAAGAGCTAAATAGTTCAAGTTTATTAAGCATTTTTAATATTTAATTTTCTTCAAAAAAGTTAAATTATTTAAAATCTTGAATTTATGATGGAAAAAAGTAATTTATATTACTGGTGCAAACACGAGAAGTTTGAAAGAAAATGAATGTGCAAAATATAAAGCTACTGTCTAATTTTACGAATTTTTATTAATATATATATATATATATATATATATAAATAAAAAATATATATTTTTAAATATATATATATATATATATATATATATATATTAATAAAAAATATATATTTTTAAATATATATATATATATATATATATATATATATTTCCATCTCTCTTACAGTTCTTTTATTACCAACAATGCGAATCATTATTCATTTCTGACGCGAGCCGCAGTCGCACGTAAAGATTTTCAAAGAAGATCGCAAACGAAAAAAAAAATAAGTCTTCCCGCCAATCCGCCGAGTCTCGTTCGCGTATGGACCTTGCATCTAAAAGAGCTCCGGAGAGAGGGATGAAAGGTTGCACCATCCAAAAGCAAAGAAAGAGAGAATATAAGTCGTGAGGAGGGAAGGGAGTAGGAGGCAGAAAAAGAGCGATAGAAAGAGAGAGAGAAAGAGAGCGTCGACCTTGATGAAAATAACTCGTTGAACTGACCATACCTCTTGCACGTGAAGTTAAAAAGTGCAGCCTCGCTGCAGAGAGGGCTTTTGCCGCGATATATTCTTATATATTCTCTCTTTCTCTGCTTTTGAACGGTGCAATCTTTCATCTTTCTCTACCGAGCTCTTTTAGATGCAAGGTCCACGTGCAAACGAGAATCGGCGGGAAGAGAGAGAGAGAGAGAGAGAGAGAGAGAGAGAGAGAGAGAGAGAACTTGCTTCTTTTCTAATCTTATTAATTTTTTTGTAATCAAAATTTAAAAACTTTATAATCCAAAAAAATTACGTTGATTTCATTCTGTCAATTTTCAATTTCTTCTTTCGTCGTAACTATCTGTCCGACGAGTTAAAACCGTTAAAACAATGAGAGCGTTCCGATAATTTAACCATTATCATGTCAATTGACCCTCGCGTTCTATAGACCTTTGTTCTTGATAATGCTTGTTACCGTTTCAATCATTTAGCGAATTCCAGTTCGTTTGAAATTTTGACGCGCGTAATATTAAATATCTTCCACCTCAATCGAAAGAGAAAAAAAATAAATGGTTTCGCTCGAAACTGAATTTATGGCCAAATGCGTAGTGAGATTTCCAGGATATCGAGAAGCGATACTGGAAAGGATTTCGCGTACGAGAAAGATTCGAGAGGCCGTGGAGAGATGAACGTGGGTGGGTTGGGAGCAGGATCGAACGACCTCAGTTCAGACACGAACCAACAGCAGCTCGCAATATCGACGTAGTTTTACAGGTGTCGAGGTGACCGATAGAGCTTTCGCTACCAACAGTTGACAATTCGAGTCGAATCGAGCCTACACGTGGTTCGTTTCTAAACTATCGTTCCTCGCCGTGTGATAATATTTAAAACAATGATTAAACAATGCGTTGAATTAGTAATAATTTTCACCTATTTGTTGGACAATAACACGTTGGATTATAACACGTGAATAAGAGAAGAAACTATTTCAGCATCATTCTAACGAAGAATATGTTGATTCAATCTCTCTTCTCTCTATGTTTAACGCAAGTTACATAATTAGCGACGTTAGGGCTAAATTTGGATAACGTAACTGCAGATTATAAATTATTCTTAGTTAGTTTTATCGTTTAATTGTAATATAAATAAAAACATTATTCTGATGATTTGCAAAATGTAAATCTCACAAATAAATTGATAAACCCATTAATTTTGCAGAATTTTGTGTGACGTTAAGTCCGTATGAAACCCACGTCGTTGCGCCGGCTATAGCGTCCGGATTTTGCACAACAATGCAACTGGGATTTGCACTGCGAACGAGTTTTTACTGTCATCAGTCATCAGGCAAACGGTGAGTTCTCATATTTACCTAACGTTGCAGTAGAGCGTGTGCATTCGCGCAGATAAATCATCATCGTCTGGTATCGCGCGCGCGCACATGTGTGCGCGGCATATAAATATACATGAACCTGTCATCGCTACCGATGCAATGTCGAGGGTGAGCATTTTTTTATCTCGCGTTTCGACGGTTATGCGTCTCGTTGGGTACTTTTCACGACCCCACGACAAAGTGCACGATTATAAAAACGAATCCTAGAAAAAAAGCCTCTTAAGGGTGCCATGATTAGGGGTTAGTTAGCAAGGGGAAAAAAAGGGTACGCGAGGGTCACGATGGTTTTTTCTAACAGGTTACGTATTTTTTTGTTTGGCTATCGATTTTCATCCACCTGGCTGAAAAACAAGCAGGATGTTGCTGGTCGGAGGGAGGATAGGTTTTTTCAGAGCGTGTCGCGTTAGCTCTCGAAACAAGGTGCGCTTTTGCAAAGTGCACGTGTTTTTAATATGAAAGTAACGCGATGTTTTCTATAAATAAAAAGCTAATAAAGCTTAATGATATTATGCAATAAAAAAAATCGCTTTCTCTTTTCCCTCTCTTTCTCTTTGAGAATTATGACGTCTAATCAATTTTCTGCCTCGCTGCTCTTGTTTCGAGTGACGTATCCGAAGATTCAGAGTTCGACCTCATTCAACCTCGTTCGGAATATAAAGTATACGTCAATAAAGACAGTCGCGTCGTTGTTTTGACGTCCATTTGGTTTGTTGAAAACTCAAAATTACCCGAGGCAGCGAGTCTCGCCGCCGTGTACTCTGCAAATTAAATAACATTGCAATGGGTTAACGAAGTGTAGACTCTGTCGCTCGGACGCCTATCAGTGCGCCTACCTCCTGTTTTATCCTCTTCACCCTCCATCCTTCAGTTTCGCCCCTTCTCTACGATTTACCATCTAAGTGTCGCCCTCCTCGTCCCCACTCGACGGCCTATTTTACCCCACTTTTCCGCCTTTTCCCCTCTTTCGCCAAAGGCTGGCCATCCCATACACCTTCCCACCCCCGCGACTTATCCCCACTCTGGAATCTCACCCTTCCGAGGAAAAATAAGCGGCCGGACACCTTACGGGTTTTCGCCAGCTAGGCCGCGATTGGTCGTCTGTAATCTGCAGGTAAAGTCTACGTTTCGGTGGAGACTATCGAAAATGTGGCCTTGCAAATATAGGAAACTTAGATCCAATATCCACATAAAATTAATATGTATTTTATTGTGTTTTCGTCTTAGGATCAATTTTCTTATGAAAAAGTAATCTATTTAGTCCATTGAAAAATTTATTATAAAAATATTGCAAATACAACGTTGAGATATCAGGACGCGTGCGGTTTTTCACGGAACGTCAACTATATATTATGAAAAAATAATATAACAAATGTTTATAGATTACGTTTATGTGACGATAAAAAATTACACGCATAAAATTGTGAAAATTATATATAGTCATTTATATATTAAACTATTATATTAATATTTACGTGAAGCTATTTTCACATTGCAATATATGTGTCTTCATTAGCATATCATGGCTGATAAAATACAGTTGTTTACGCCTTTTCAGCGGTCGAATTTCCCGATGAAAGTCATATGATGTGGCTACAAAGTGTTACCATATTTATTTATTACTTACTGGGTAAATTATGCAACGGTAGAACAATCAATTAATGACTTGAAATATTTATTTTCTCGCTAATCTGATTTGTTAGCGTGAAAAAGGACATACCCTGTCAATAGATTTGTTAAGCGATAATTATATGCCTGGATAATCGACGTCGATTCCGGAATAAAATGCAAACTGCGAGTCACAAATGTTTGGCGAATTTCGCGATCGACGATGAACGGCCGCGTGCAAACCGCACTTCTCCGTCCGTGAAATCTCGTTAGCCGTTTAATTATTTGTGTGTGTTGAAAAGTTAAACGATAGAGATTTTTGCCCATGTGCTGCCAGCTTATCGACAGAATGTAAATATGAAGCGCTCTCGAATTTTTTATTTATATCCCTACTATTTTATCCCGACAGCTATTTGCAGTTTGGGTACGGTGACAATTTTTATTCGGTGAAATGATGAATTGGCTAATAATTGATTTCATTTTTTATCGAGCTACACGAACTTTAGTGAATAAAAAGATCTTTGCGTTTCTAGTAATTGTTCAGAATAATCCTTAGTTGTAGTCTCGCGAGTCACAGGCTTCTGGGTCGAGAACTCGACCGAAAATCGAAATGCAAATGTCCCAGGACCACCCACCCGGAGGGCTCTTTAAATCTCTCGCACGTTTACCGGCCGGCTCTCGCTTGTTTATTTTTTAATTAAAGTCTTCCGCGGAGGCAGCTTCTCCTGGAGTGGTGGCGGGATTAAAAAAGGTCCCCCGGAGTTATTAAGCTAATAATGTGTCTCGTGCCGCGTGCCGTATCCTCCGTACATAGATACGGAGTGACAAGGAGTGAAGCGGAGAGATGCAAAGAGGAAGAGAAGGAGAGAAAGAGAGGAAAGGGTCGAGGAGGGAGAAAGATGAGTTGCGAAGGTTTAGACGAAGGATAAAGAGGGAGGAGAACAAACGGGCGCAAAAGAGGATTGGCAATGTGGGAAGATGGTCGGCTGGTAAAAAAAAGAAGAGGGTCCAGAGCGCAAAAAATCATTCCGGCACGCGTGCACAGCCTCGTCCTCATCCTTCCATCGGTATGATTCTACTGATACCCGGGAAAGTTTGCGACGACTCGGCTTTCCAAGACGACCTCACACCTCGGAATGTAGACACGCGGTCAGTTTGGCACGTTTCTCCGTATATGCTGCCAAAGTTTTCGTCGAACGTCACTTCTTGGTCTTATAAAAAATAAATGCAGTCGGATTTATCCTTTCGAGAGGTCCTTCGTCGTATTTTCTTAAAATATTTCTAGTTTCTAATTTACATGTCTTTTTTTCATTTAAATCACTTTACCAAAACTATTATATAAATAGTTGTAGAAGTAAGAGAGAGAGATCGATTAAAATGTCCTCATCGATGATAATATTTGTGCACTAATTTTAAAAAATTTTAACTAATAATGATAAAGGATTTTATATTTTCTTTATTTTTTATAAAAAAACTTTTATAAAAGACAACATTCGTGATCGTAAACAATTATGTACTATCTCGATCAGATACAGCTTCTGTAAATTGTTACTTATATAACTTTTATATACCCTTGATATACAAGGTAATTACATTACACAAGCGACGCAATATTGCTATAAATAATATCGTATGCGCTCAAAAAGACAATTTAATGCGACGATGAGAAAATTTTCAATTATGAATGTTTTAGACACAGTCTCGAATATATCCTTTATAACAAGGAATTTATATCCCAGCATATCGAACCATTTTCCCCGCCTGTGATGTAAGCGTTTGTCGCCATTGTAGATGTTTCTGAAACAGACTCGCAGGCAGGAAGATAGGTAGGATGGAGAGGTAGGGTGGTAAAGAATGGCCAGACTCCGTGGTGGAGTAAAGCATGAAATAAACTCTCTATTATTGGGAATTTATGCAAAACTTTCCGGCGTAACACGCAAACACTCGTAACCGCCGCAGGTAACACTGATAAAAATAAAAGATCGGAGCATCGATAAGCCACATTCCATTAAATTCTTAACATGTAGATCCTATTTAAGTCATTTGCAATGTGCAAAATAAATTAGGTAGATATAAATTATTTAAACGTCACACTGGGGAAATATTTGAAAATGACAAAAAAATATACGTGTCTTTAATGTATCTTGAATGTTAAAATATGATAGTATAAAAAAAAAAATGAAACGCAAATAAAAATATTGTTAGCACATATTTGGAAGTTTCTTCATGTTAATTGCGAGATAAAGAATGAACGAAAATGAAATTCAATGGAATGATGGATCTATTTATTCATAAGATGCAGGTATTACACGCATAATTTTTCGATAAAAGTCGAATCGCATCGATACTCGTCGCAAGCGCAAAGAAGTCGCGCGACGACGATGTCAAGATTTCGAAGGAGCGAACAATGAGAAAACGGGAAAACTGAAAGACCGAAAAGGATTGCAAAGAATGGCCGGAGGCTGTGGAAGGATGGAGGAAGGAAGGAAGGTCCGCTCGGCTGTCTCTCACCCTCTCGGACCACCCGCGTCTCCTTCTCCTCCATCGCCCTCTTGCCTCTTCCTGGCCGTCATCTCCGGGGCGATTTTCCACGGCACCTAAGAGAAGGGGCCAATGAGACGCTGGGCGTCGGTATTGATCCGAGGCGTCGTCCAGGAGACGCCCGCTCCAAGACGCCCGGCTTGCCCGGCGCGAGAGAGCGGCCCCGCAGTTCGAGATAAAAGGACGAAAGCCGCTTCTGGAGACGAGCCGCGGGTCCTTCCGCCTTCCGTGTGTTCTCTGAAACCGTCCGCATGAAACCTCGTATATGATCCGACATGGTCCGCGCACTCATGTGGCTCCTGGCCGTCACGATACCATTACGCAGAACTCGTGCCGGCACGCGAGTCCTTTATGAGGCTAATCCGGCCGACCGAAAAGTGTGTCGATCGCCGTCGTCGGTTCCTAGGTACGCGGAAATATTTTTTATTTTTGTTTTTTCTCAATTATCGTCATTTGGTTCTTCATCATGCATGGTTACCGACCATACATCCGCTTATTTGCTGAACTTGAAGAGATGAATGAAGAAAAGAATGAAAAAGTCTCGACATAAAAATATAATGAAATTCTTCGTTATATTTTTATCACAATCAAGTTTTATATTTAAAGATTAATTATTATTTTTAATTTCAACAAATAGCATTCGATTAATAGCGTAGTAAATAAAAAAGAGTTTCTGGCAAAATTGAATCTATAACTTAACAAGCTATGAGTAATATTAAGGTTGACTGATTGACTTTTAAATTGTAAAATCTTATGAGAAACATGGCGTATTCTCTTCCTTTGCCCTTGTTCGCTCCAATGAAATAACATTCGCG